CCCAGGCCCTTCCATCTGTAAGTGATGAAAGCCCCTGAGGAGAGAAGGGACTGGCCTGAGGCCACATGGTGGGTGGGGCTCTGGGTTTGCAGGTCAGGCTTGGGCTTGCCCAGCAGCCTCCTTTCCTACTATTGAAAGAGTGTCACCCTGGCTGCTGAGGGCCCCACCCCTGCTCTGGCTGGGGCTGCACCTGGGGTCTGTGCCCTGTATCTGCTGCCCCTCCTGCATCTTTCAGGGACATCTGCGCCCACAGGGGCCTTTAGAAGAATCCACATCCTTGGCTTTAGAAATGAGCCAGAGTCCAGGGCACCCAGGCGGGGGTCGGCCTGTGTTTGAGTTTGAAGCCAGGCAGGGGCCGGCCTTTCCCCAGCTCATCCTCACTGATGAAGCCCAGGGCAGTGGGGCTGCCTGCTTGCCCGCTCTCAGCCCTGACCATTGGCCTCTTTCCTCTTTGGGAACCACAGGTGAAATCGCAGGGGCGGGCGCGGCCAGCCTTAGGTCCGTACTGACCGACAAGGCCATGGTGAAGAAGGAGCTGCTTTATTTTGTTGCCGGCGACGACAAGTACCGTGTCAATAACAAGTATGACCAGAAGAACAAACCGCTGCCTCCCAGGGAAATTGTGCGCCGCGCGGAGGAGAAGGTGGGGCAGGAGATGTGCTACAAGCTGACCAGTGAGAACTGTGAGCACTTCGTGACCAAGCTGCGCTACGGAGTCTCCCGCAGTGACCAGGTGCGTCCTCAGCCCGTGTCCCTGTCCTCAACAACCAGACCATTCCCTCCGCTGACAGTGGCTGGGCATCTGTGTGGGCAGCCGGGGCGGAGGCTGAGGCACAAATGAGACAAAATAGCAGGGACAGAATCCCTGCCCTCTAGGGAGTGACAGTCGGCGTAGGGATGAGAGTGGGGAGAAGTGCCAGTCGCTGTGCAGACCAGTGAGGTCGGGGGGTGATGTCGCAGCCATGACAGTCACCCCTGGCCCCTCCCATAGCTCCAGAGGAGGGTTGTTTTATCCCCACTTTACAGATGGGGAAACTGAGGCTCACGGTGCTTTACTCACTCACCCAAACTCATTCCACCACTAGGCATTGAGTCTCTAGAACCTGACAGCCAAGTGCAGAGGTGAGATTTGAACCCAGGTGCCTGATCCAGGAGGCATCACAGAAGAGGTGACAATCGAGCTGAATCTGATTTAATTCTTTTATTTAAATTGAAGCTGGAAAATGAGCTGGAGATGACCAGGGAGTAGGGGCGACAAGGACTACAGGCCGAGGGAGGAGGAAAAGTGGGAGCCAGGAGGAGGAAGAGCCACACAGACGTTTTCTAGGAAAGGCCGGGGTGGGAGGTGGGGGGGAGACAGACACCTTTCGGGCTCTGGCCCACGTGGTCTCTGTTACTCCACTCAACTCCGCAGCTTTATGCAGAAACGCAGTCGTGGACAATCCCTAATGGAGTGGGTGAGGCCATTCCTAAAAAAGTGTTGTATGGAAACAGTGATGGGTGTTAGAATCGCCAAAGGAGGAACGCATGAGGCCAAAAGGGGTAAAGAATCATGAATTTATTAGGTCACCTGGAGACCAGATGGGCTGATCCCCTAAATGGCGCCCCCACCCAGGGATCAGGAGGTCAGAGGTTTTAAAGGACTCCAGGTGGGCTTTTTCTGGGCGGAGAATTCTCTTGGCGGGTCCTGAGGGGAAGGATAAGGTCTTGGCAAGTGGAATGTGGTCTAAGCAAAAGGGAATGTCGGTTGTGAAGTGGCCTAAAGGTCAGTGCCCAGGGGAGGGGGTATGGACTCAGTCATGTGATCAGGCCTGGCAGGGGGCTCGCTTGGGCCCCTGTGCCATAGTTTGCTGACTCCTGGTCTCAGATAATCTGAAAATCCACATACCCCTCACACATTCTTAGCTGACATCAAACATTTAAAAAGTTTATAGAATATAAAGAGTTCAGAGGATGGCATTTTTGGTACATGGTACATATGTGTCTATTTTCTTCACGTCCTTGGCGTTGCACAGTTAGCACATGCAGTTAATGGTAAATGTCTGCATGTCATTTTAATACACAGAGCAGGCATTACTGCCAACCAGTCAGCCAAAGCAGACCTGATTTCATTCATTTATTTACATTTATTTATTGCTAATCCTCATCCGAGGATATTTTTCCATTGATTTTTAGAGAGTGGAAGGGAGGGGAGAGACACAGAGAGAAACATTGATGTGAGGGAGACACATCGATTGGTTGCCTCCCACCTGAGCCCCGTCCAGGGCCGGGGATGAGCCTGCAACTGAGGTACGTGCCCTTGACCTGAATCGAACCTGGAACCGTTCTATCCACTGTATCCACTGAGGCCAAACCGGCTAGGGCCAGACTTCACTTCTTTTAGGAAAAAAGCTGGCGTCCCCCTCCTTCCAACTCAAATGAATACATTACAGCACGTTTCGATGACAACTGTCTGGGGTGGGAATTCCCATCTAAAGTAACAGAGGTGGAGGGAGCCTCCCAGGGGGGATGTGGTCTCCTGGTTCTTCCCTCCGCCTGTCTGTCTGGAAGCAGTGGGTGCCCCATCCTCGCTGGAACCTTATGCCTCGTCCAAGGCTGTAGATCCCGGTGGGTGAGGACGAAGCTCCTCTTCTGTGAGGGGGAGAAGGGCTGTGGTGAAAGGGGAGAGGCAGGGAACCCACTGGGAACTGCCCCCTGGTGCCCGCGGGGACCCTGCTGTGGGGTCTCCCTCCTTTGGGCTGAGGTGGGAGGCGTGACAGCCTGCGGGTCAGGGCTGCCCATCATGCATCTGTGCTGGAACCCCGAGGGCCAATCTGGGGGACCCCAACTTTTCAGGGGTGGTTGGCCGCCTGCTGTGCTCCCGAGGGACTGGGGGAGGTCTCTTCCCCTGAGCATCTAGTCCCTGGCGCCTCTCTTCTGAGCTCCTTCCACAGCCGGTAACTCAGCCTTGCCTGTCTGTCTCCCTCTTACTCCTTCCTGCTCCCTGACTCTGTGTCTACAGAGACTCCCTCCTTCTCCCTCCATAAGCGAGTGGGCGCCCCTAGGCCGGCCCCAGCCCCTGAAATGCCTGCGGGAGGAGCGGAAGGCTGCCAGGAGAAGGGACTGTCCAGCCAACCTCTGAGCCGGGCCCTGAGCGCCTTTCGGAGCGCTTACTGACAGGGGCTGCCACTGGGAACCCCTCTGCCCCGGACGGGCATGTGTGGCCTACAGCTCAGGAGTGTCGCTCTCAAGGACCTGGGCGCCATCCTTTAAAATGTCCTCGTCCGCCCTGGCCGCGTGGCTCTGTTGGTTGGGTGTCATCCTGCCCACAAGGAGGTCGCCAGTTCAATTCCTGGTCAGGCACAGGCCCGGGTTGCGGGTTTGATCCTCTCAGGGGTGTGAGCAGGCAGCAGCCCATGGATGTGCTCTCACAGGGATGTTTCTCTCTCTCCCTCTCCCTTCCTCTCTCTCTCTCTCTCTCTCAAATCAATAAACTATTCTTAACAAAATATATATAGAGAGATGCTATTACGGCAAAGTAACCAAAGACGGGAAACAGACCACCAAAACTCGGGAGACGCAGAAATTCCCCTTTATCCCTAATGCAGGGCTGCTGGCTCAGGGGAATCACTTTCCCAAAAGCTGAGCAAAACCTATTCTGCTGAACCCAGATATATGTATCCCTAGGTTCTGTTTCTTGTTTCTGGGTCTCTGTGTGGTTTTTTAAAAAAAGCTATTTTGCTGCAAAGTAGGTGATAAAAAATGTTCTAGCTGACACCTGACAGGTTCAGAGTGGGCTAGGATCGTGCACCTATGACATGAGGCCATAATGTATCAAAAGAGATTTTATTCCCGACACCTGGGTGCAGGTGGGCTGAGACCGAGAAAGGCATCGGAAAGAGAGCAGGGAGAGACAGGTTTCTGTTGATCCTGGCTGGCTGCAGCCGCTCTGCTGACGTGGGGGTCTGGTCTGTCCTTGGCTCCTCCCATGCCGGGTGTCTCCTGGTTCTCTGAGCTGTGCAGTGCTCAAGGCTGCAAGCTTTCTGCGAGATATCTGCTAAGCACAACAAGTCTTTCTCTGCCCTGTTTTATTCTCTTTAACCCTTTCATTCCCAATGCAAACATTTATGTCTGGGTTTCAGTTCAAGCCTCTGCAAACTTATTGTTCCAGGATGTGGGTTTGCACCGTGCAGCAGTGAGGGCTACACTGATTATAGATCAGCAGCATCCTGTCACGGCTGGGGTTGGGTTAAGCTGTCTTCACACTGTTCCTATCATCACGCCTGCTGTCCTTATCCATTA